CTTTTGATTTCTTCATATCCTTACAATACTTTGTTATTTTACATCTGTTTTGTAGCTACGGAAATCGGATAGTAGTAATAGTAGCAGTAGTAATGGAAAAACCGGAGGAGGCTCAAAATCTTCAGGAAAGAACTCTGCAGCCTCGAGCGATAATTCGAACGCCCCAACAATCGTAGTTGTTAATGCTGGAGAGCAGGTTCGTAAATATTTCAGGTTTCACAAACTAGTTGTAATAAATATTGAAAAAAGGTTGCTATAATGCATCTGAACCTTTATCTGACTTGTCAGTATTATTCGAATTACAAATTATTCACCTGTTTGTTACTTTCAGAGAGGGCATGCCACCCCCCCAGAAAATACAGCGCCTTTATCGCCTGCTGGTAATCCACACAAATCTCATTCAAAAGAAGAGCCTCCTAAACGAGACCCTTTGAATCGTTTGAAGGGGACACCTAAAGACGTTATTCCTATAAGCAAAGCACCACGTCGTCAAAGATCGTCGAGGTTTCATGTGACTGAAAAAGTCGAGTTGGAAAAATTACCAAATTTTAATGGTTAGTTTTAGCCTACCAATGAATGTTAGATCTTAAATAGTTAGAATTTTTATAATAAGCCTCTTTTCAACTATAAATTATTACCAGAGGTTTCACCGGACAAAAGACAAGAACTTTTTCTTAGAAAGCTTACTCAATGTTCGGTAATTTTCGACTTCAATGATGCAAGCGCTGACCTTAAAGGAAAAGAGATTAAGAGGTCAACACTGGCCGAACTCTTAGATTATATCACTACAAATCGAGGAGTAATTACCGAACCAATATACCCCGAGGTCGTTTCGATGGTTTGTTATAGCTTTTTATATATATGAATATATATATATATATATAAATCAGAGTATGAATTTCTATATTTTGATGATTTATTAGATAATAATCGAACATGTACATGATTGGCTAGTTTGCTATCAATCTTTTTAGAACCATACCTCCACAAGTAAATCCCACAGGTGACGCCTTCGATCCCGACGAGGATGAACCCGTACTCGAACTTGCTTGGCCTCATCTTCAAATCGTTTACGAATTTTTTCTTCGATTTATTGAATCACCTGATTTCAACACGAATATTGCCAAAAAATACATCGATCCACAATTTATATTGCAAGTGTGTAAAAAAATTTTCATGTACACTGATCATTTATCATAATTATAAAAAAATTATTATCTTTTTTCCTTCAAATTTCGTTCTTTTTTTTATTTTTGTATCTTTACTTATTTTCTTTATTTTTATTTTTTCTTTTTTAGTTGTTGGAATTGTTCGATAGTGAAGATCCAAGAGAGCGTGATTTCTTAAAGACAACATTGCATCGTATTTATGGAAAGTTCTTAAATTTGCGCGCATTTATTCGAAGGTCCATTAATAATGTGTTCTTTCAGTTCATATATGAAACCGAACGTCATAATGGTATTGCCGAGTTATTGGAAATCCTTGGAAGGTAAAAATCTAATGACAACAATTCTTTCACTAATTTTAATGAATTTTTCCAATTGATCACAATTTTTAACATTTCAGTATTATTAATGGTTTTGCATTACCATTAAAAGAAGAACACAAAACATTTCTCACAAAAGTCTTGATACCTTTGCATAAAGTCAAGTCTTTAACGTTATATCACCCTCAATTAGCATATTGTGTTGTGCAATTTTTGGAAAAGGATCCATCATTAACAGAAGAAGTAAGGAAATGTATTGCATTTTTTTTTATATACGTTGAACTCTTCACCTGATTATATATTTTGCGCTTAATTATTTCAGGTTATTTGTGGCCTATTGAGATACTGGCCGAAAGTAAATAGTCCCAAAGAAGTTATGTTTTTAAATGAAATTGAGGAAATCTTGGATGTGATAGAACCACAAGAATTTGTAAAGATTCAGGTTCCATTATTTCAACAAGTAGCTCGATGCGTGTCAAGTCCACACTTTCAGGTATAGTAATGAAATAATATGATTATACGAATACGAATTATAAAATACGGATTATAAATTAATTTACCATTATAATTATAAATTGTAAACAAAGGTGGCAGAAAGAGCGTTATATTATTGGAACAACGAATACATTGTCAACCTGATAGGTGATAATGTGAATGTTATTTTACCAGTAATGTTTCCTTCTTTATATCAGAATTCTAAGGCTCATTGGAACCGGTAACTAAAAATTTCTTCGATTATTTTTATTAACTCTTATTACATCAACATATTAATATTATCTATCCTTTTACTTCAAGTACCATTCACGGCTTAGTATACAACGCTTTGAAATTGTTCATGGAAATCAATCCAGCATTATTCGATGAATGTACGGCACAATATAAACAAAGTCGTCAATTGTAAGTGTAATTTATAGAGAAATTTGTGTTATCGTAATTTCAGGCAATGCCAACTTAACATTAAATATTAAATATTAATAGGGAAAAGAAAAAAATGCGGGAACGAGAAGATACATGGCACAGATTGGAAAGAACTGCTGCACACAATGCTCAAGGACTTCCCCTTCCTTATGCCATTGGCGGACCTTTGATATCTTCAAGAACTGACGTGTCGAGTAAGAATACTTTAAAATCTTTTATAATTCAAATAAACTTTTGAAATTAACCTACTTCTCTAAAATTTTAGCGATTCAAACTTTTAATGCGTTTGATAATGATGAGAATCATTCAAGTGGTGATGAGGACTCGGGTGAAGATGAACGTCAAGAAGGAGACAGACAAGAAGATGAGCATGGAGAATTGGTTTGTTTATTATTACCTTTATCAACTTTATAAATAAACTTTTTTTCTCATTTTTTACCCTTCTTTTTTTACATATATAGCAAGCTTTTGACGGAAGGCCAGATGGTTTTAATTTATTCCGCCGAAAATCAATTATACCTGTTGATGAATCTGTTTTGTCTGAATTATCAAGGCATCGTAGTTTGGAAGAAGTTCTCAATGGTCCACCAGATGCTTCAGGCAGCCCAACAAAAAACCCTTAATTTTATTTAGTTCCATATAGAATGAAATATTCTTTTTTTTTTTTAAAACCACTCTTCACGTTAGACATACGATTGTGAATGTATTGTATGTATGGGGATAAGGATAATGGGTTTTGCTCGTTTAGTTAGAAACTTTGGATTAGTTTAGTGTATTTTACTTTTTTTGCTTTATACTTCTTTTCGCTCGCGACAATTATAGAACTAAAAATGATGTCGTATTGAGGCGACAATTTTCAAATTATTTTATATCAATTGGGCAAAGTGGTTCATCGTGTCGCACGAAAAAAAATCCGCAGAGACAATTCTTTAAAAAACTTAAAATATAATGAC